AAAGATTTTGGGACGAATGTCTGACTGTACACTCTAAAAAATGCTGGGTTAAATACAACCCAATTGCTGGGTTTGTCCCTATTTTACCCAGCACTGGGTTGTATTTAACCCAGCATTTTTTAGAGTGTACAGTCAGACATTCGTCACAAAATCTTTAATTGCTGTTTATGTGTCAGTAAATGAAGCCAGTCACTAAACGGTCAACTTCCTGAAATGACCTGTTATTTAAATTCTGATCAAATTATATACAGAAAGGGATTAAATAACGGTCCCTTTTTAATCACTGGAGCTGTCAGTCACTTCAAGTTCAATGTGAACGCCTTGAGTTCTGCACACAAAAACTCCTGTTTTGATAAATGATGCTGTGTACACTGCTCAATGAGATGCATTGTATCTGCACTGTGTTAGTTATGATGAAATCATTTGTGTTGCAATAGGGTTATCATTGCAACACAAATGAGACTGTGATCGGCTACAATGCTCAGAGCTGGAAACTTTTATGCAATGAGAGTAGATCGGAGTATGATGCTTTAATCAAAAAATTTTCACGATTAGTTAATCTTGGCAGCTGTAATAGGTCCACATACTTATTTCATATGCAAAGATATTACCCAATCATTGCAGTAAACATTGAAGTCTTAAAAACTACCCAGTGTTCCTATTAGAAGGGTATAAAATGTCATATTTTATTTCTATATTATGGCAATTTTTGATGTAAAAAAAAAAAAAAACTACTAAAATTGTAAGTGCACCTCAAGAAACATTGCATTATAAAACTGCAGCATGTTCTTGTCATAAAATGTCATATGCATTGTCTTTGATTATCTGATTACTGCTATTACTATAAAGCAAGTAAAACCTGTTCTGATTTCATTTGTTCTTGTTTTGCTTGTACATGGACAGCTTTATCCAGAGATTAGATCTGCATTTAGTGCCCAAAGTAATCCAGCATATCTAGGGGATATGAAAAACGTCTATACTATATATAAGTCATGTTCAGAAAAGTGCTCTCTGATGCGTGTACCCTTATCTGAGGCTGTTTGTCCTTGCCGGTGAGCTAGAAAATTTATCTGTTTTGCGAGAGAGAACGATTAACCTATTTGCAACTAAAAATAAAAGGAGGAAGCACTCCATTTTACTTTTCTGTCGTCCTCAAGCTGCACACCCACAGGAAAGCGAGCGTGACATGGTGAAACGGCTGTTGTTTTCTCCATGAGCTGGAGGGTTGAGTTTCCTGTATATAGAGTGAAGGGTCTTAGTTTGTTTGGAGACGTTAGTGTTACTAAGAGCTGTGGTAAGGGCCCCGTCCTGCGCTTCCTCTTTTTAGCACGTCTGATTCAACTCTGTGGTTATTTCACTGATATAGGGGCTTTGTAGGATGTTACAAGGCCATTTAGCAGTATTTCTGATGAACACACTGGCTATTCAGTATAATTTGAAAAGGAATTGTATGATTTGGGCATCTAACAAGTTTCCATTTGCAGAGATTGGAATGAAAGATCTTCTGATTTGCACAGCTGTAGATCCATCAAGTGTTGGGGACAGGACTTTTTTTTGCTTGCTAAGCTACAAGCTACTTATGGTTTAAATTAAACTCTAGTCAAGCTAACCGTATGAAAAAGTAGTTATAACTACCTTGAAGCTGGTGTAGCAGTATAATTAGAATATAAATAGAAAATTAGAAAGTGGGGATGACCAGCATTTATATAGAATTATATTTCTATAAACATTTATTTGTGAATTCTGTTCATTTATGTGAATCATTGCAAAAAAAACAATTCACTAAAATGAATCAGATTCTTCAATGCTACACTACAGTTCAAAAGTTTTTTTAAATGTTTTTGAAAGTATTTGTATATACACATGTAAGAACTGCATTTATATGATAGAGACATCTTTTGTAATATTATAAATGTGTAATCTTGTAAAAAAAAAAAAATTATCCCAAAACATAATTTGGAATCCCAAATAAGTCACAAATTTAAATTCTGTCGTGACCCTTATGTCATTAAAAATCTTTATGGCAAAAATGATATTCTGAAGAATGTTTTAATACAATGAAAAACATTTGTGTTCAGAGCAACACTGTGTGCCACTGGCTTTTCTATGGGGGAAAAAAATTCAAAATATCTTTTTATGTTTCACGGAGGAAGAAAGTCATACAGGTCTGGAATGACATGAGGGTGAAATTTTTATTTTGTGCATTAACCGT